ATTTAAAAAGATTTCAGGGTGATCATTTCAAAACAAATTTCATGTGATATTTGTTAGGAAACTAGGAGAAGAAACCATGCATTTCAAAGCTGAGATATCAAAAAGCCTTCAAAAAGCTCATCTGTGACTCAGTAAGAAAATCATTTTGCACTGGGCACATTTCCTTCCCATTGCTGACTCTAATGGATTTTTGAGGGGGTGGAGACTTTAATTGTATTGTTAGGTGAGACTGAGGGAGGCCCTCATTTCTCTAAGGTAAGGTATCAGACATACATAATTTGTCAAATTGAGATCTACCAACTCCTTTTGGAGTTAGCTATTTAGAGTGTCACTGGGATAGAGTAAATCTTTGAACTCTGTATCCAAATTTACAATCTGGAGATGCTCCTAGTTTGCTGTTGGGTGTTTTCTTCTCTTTCTCTCGCTCTTTCTTTCGAAATTATTTAGACAGAAAAGTTGCAAATATAGTACATAAGTTCCCGTATATACTTTGCTCATCTTCCCCCAATGTTACATAATCATAGTACAATCATCAGAGCCATGACATTAACATTAGTACAATACCATGAACTAATCTATGCCCTTTATTTGAAATACATATTTTTCCAAACAGTGTCCTTTTTAAAATCCAGGATCCAGGCCAGGATTCATTGCATTTAGTTGTCCTATCTCCCCAGTCTCTTTCGGTCTATGACAGCTTCTCAATCCTTTGTTCTTCATGACCTTGATACTTTTATTAAAGAGTACTGGCTAGTTATTTTGTAAAATGCCCCTCAATTTGGATTGGTCTGATGTTTTCTCATGATTAGGTTGAGGTTATTTATTTTTAGCAGGAATGGCACAGAATAATGTTGTGCGCTTATCAGCTTATCATATCAGGGGTGCATGATATAAATGTGTCTTAGTACTAGTGCTGCCAACTTTGATCACATGGTTACGATTACTAGTGCTGCCAGATTTGATCGTATGGTTAAGGTGGTACATGCCAGGTTTCTCTACAGGAAAATGATTAGTTTTTTGGTTTTGTAATTAATATTTTGTTGTAAGGTATGCTTTGAGACTAGGCAAATGTCTTGTTTCTCGTTATACTTCCATTTACTAATTTAAACATCCATTGGTGATTCTTGCCTGTAGCCATTGTTATTTTGTTGTTTATCTAGTGGAGATTTTCTATTTCCATCATTCCTTCTATGTTTATTAATTATAATTTTACTGTAATGAGGAGCTGACCCTTCTTTATTTGCTTATTTGTTCATTTATTTATATCACTATGGACCCATAGATATTAATTTTATTCCATGGGTTAGAATCCATTTTTGTCATCATTCATTTTTGTTGTTTAAATTGTCCAAATTTGGCCATTCAGAGCAACTTTAAGATGGCTCCTGAATCTCTTTGACATATCTCTATCACTCTATAAACACTAACCGTCTGGTACCACAAAATATTCTAGGCACATCTTTTCTTTACCCCAGCCTTTGAATCAACTATTTCTCCAAGGAGTCCTGGTTCCTTTATTGTATAATGATATTTAGAAGCCAAGATCTCGATGCCAGGTGTGCACACTACTACTGGGGTGTATTTGCTTGTAGATTCTTTCCGTAGACAGAGCTAGGCAGTATATGTATATAGACTCATACATGAATATACACATTTATTTCTATATATACCTCTGTGTAGGAGTATTAAAATCTATGTGTAAATAATGATACCTCAAATTCTAATTAAACATCATAGACATTTCTTAAGAGAGTTCTTGTAATCATTAAAAAATATATATATTGGAGACAAACTTTCTCTTTGGCTTAAAAATAATCTGACATTAAAACCCTCTTCATTATTGACATTTCCATCTCCAAAACTCTTGAAGAATTTCTGATTGACAAAATCTTCTCTATCTAAGCTTTATCTCTAGCAGATATTACAAGAAGTAGATTTTTCAATACAAAGATTATTTCACAATGATTTCATAGGACTGCTCAGCACATCCTAATAGGTACTCTTGCTTCTCTAATTCTCAGATGGAATAAGAATGTCCTACATTAGGATTGCCATGACAGCTTCTCTTAAATGGTCCAGATTTCCCCACATTTTAGTGATGGGAGGTATCTTCATACTTAGATCATTAGTGTGGCCCATGTGTACCTGGGACTCAAACTAGATAGGCATACTAGATAGGTTATTTTCAATCCTCCCAGAAGAGTATGTAAATAAATGTGTTCAGAATATCTCAGTTCCTCAGAACTCTGAATATGAAGAGAGATGAGTTTTTTAATAATCACAGCAGTTTGTTAGTGACATTCAAATCTTTGAGCTACAAAGTACATAAGAGGACATGACATGCAAATGCTTTATCTATAGACAGTGGTGACTGGGGATATAAAATAGTATTTGTACCCTGGCCAGTGTTGTTCTGTGGTTAGAGCATTGGCCTGAGTACTGAAGGGTTGCTGGTTTATTTCCAATCAAGGACATGTACCTGGGTTGCAGGTTCGATCCTGGCCCTGGTTGGGGTGTGTGCAGGAGGCAACCAATTGATGTCTCTGTCTCTGTCTCTCTCTCTCCCCCTCTCCCTCTCCCTTTCTCCCTCCCCACTCTCTCTCCTTCTCTTTCCCTCCCTCTCCCTACCCCTCTCACCCTCTTTCTTTTCCTTCCTTCCTCCCTTCTCCTTTCTCTAAAAATCAGTGGAAAAACATATCCTCAGGTGAGGATTAAAAAATAAATAAATTTTTAAATAAGCAAAATAGTATTTGCATGTGAGGCAGGGAACTGCCTCATGTACCCCTTATAACCCATGATTCAGCTGATTTTTACCTGGAACATACGTGTGTCTCAAAGGTCTGGTTCTGCTCTTTGGTGAAGGCTAAAGAAGCACTGTAATTGTGTTCCAGAACACATGTGTTAGTAGTCATTTCTAGGATTGCTAGCCTCAGCATGGTCCAGGATAGGGTGTTAGAAGATGGATTTTTGTAGAGAAGAGTAGAATAGAATGATTCAATAATGCTATAAAGTTGACTTTATGTTTGTTTGATAGATGTTATATATCTGTCATGTGCCAGACATCGTGCTTGGTAGGTGATGGTTTAAAAAGAGAAGGGGTGGTGTGAGGGCGGGTTGAGGAGTAAGATCTTTTAATTCAGAAGTAAATTGACTGGAGCTAAGACTGAGGGTTTTAACACCGGAGAGAAGAAAATTACAATATCTATCAGTGAGATGGAAAAAGGAGAGGGACATTTTTGAGACATGGAATTCAGAAAATGGGCAAGTGAGGATAATACAAATTTCTATACCTGAGAAGGTGGTAGTGCTGTTTTTAAATATAAAGTGGCGGGAATCTACTCAGCAAGAGCTATTATTTAATTAATAAGTAAAATAGAATCAAAAGTTACTTTTCCAATAAGCTTTCCTTATTAATACCTCCATATTATAGAGTGTAGAATTCATTGCCCATTCATCCCCTAAGAACTTATCAGCATATTTTATTATGTTACTTGCTATCACCTTGCTTTGGAAATTCATCTCATTTTTCGCTATATAATTGTTTATTCTGTTCCTGTGTCACATGGATCTATTACTGTCTTCTCCTTCTAACACACAGAGAAGCTTGCACCTTGCTGTGAATACAGTAGTTGAATGAACACTAGTGACATGAGTGTTGAATGAAGATTGGAACCAGTCATTAGTTTATACTATTAAAAACCAATAAATGATGAGACCCGAAGGTGATTTATAGCTAAAAATCTGTTTTCTTATTCAATAATGCAGAGTTTTACCAGAAGCCTGATTACAAAACCAATCTTTTGAAATGTCACCACAGTAAAATCTTTGACAGATGCAACACAACTAGGTATATCATTAAAATACATTCTTAACAGGATAAAAGCCTAGAATCAGAACATTGGTTGAAAACATAGAAGCTCTACAGAGGCAGTAAATTAGGAGCTAGTCTCATTTTAAATTTGCCATCAATATTTCTTTGTTGAAGCCCAGAAGTTGGAACAAATTAAGCTGGTGTAAGTTAGCACCATGGTTTTATACAAGATTCTGGAAGAGTAGGATTTTTAAGTGAGGAGAGCTTTTAGACTAGGAATTTAAGTATCCATTTTTGTCATAAAAATGCTTCCACCCATTTTACAGACTTACGTGTACCAAGGATGAAGATTTGTTGAAACTCTGAACTTCTCGTTTCTTTTTCTTGATTTCTTAACTAGGTGAAAGCTTTATGCTGAAATTAGATTGGGTTTATCTTTAACAAGACCAATAGCTGTGTTTGAACTTATTTTTATAACATAGAGATGTTAAACCATTGTATTGGGCTCATGGCTTCTTGCTACAAATTATGTAGCAATTGTATTTTGAATAATTTTGTCTTGTACATCAAGATATACATGGCAAGTTATAATGGCATTCCTCTTGAACAATACTCATTCCTGATGGTTAGAGAATCCATGTTCAAGGCGGGGCTTGGTGCTGGCTGCTTATGCCTTAGGTCACCCCTTAATTTGGGTGAATATGCTTTGTTCTTCAGAGCAAGTTGGAAAATTGGCTTAGTTTTGTGACTTGCTCATCTCTTTGAGAAATGCAGTTGCACTATGGGGGTTCTTGCCTTGGTATGAAAACCTTGTCTAATTCTACTGCTTGGTGCTTAGATGGGAACTCCTAGGGATACCTGGAGCATCTCACCTGCTAGATTGGAATTTGGGGCAGGAGATCATTTTAACATTGAATGTTCTCTGGGATCTTGATGGTGTGAGATAGCCCTTCAGGGCCTCTAGTTTCCCATCAGTTCTAGTAGTTGAACTCATGATGTGACCTTATGAACCCTTCAGGAGTATTCAAGGAGTAAATAACAAGGTCACACCTTTCAGTAGGAGAATTTCATATACAAGCCATGAAACCATTCTCTGTGTCTTCCTGAATATTCCTCCTCTGCTTGTCAGCATGTGGCCTCATGGTGTTCTTTGCCTCTGATAGCTGTTTCTCTCCCCTCCCTCCTGCAGACATGCCTTGAATTGGAACGCTACCTACAGACAGAGCCGAGGAGGATCTCAGAGACCTTTGGCGAGGACTTGGACTGTTTCCTCCATGCTTCTCCCCCCCCTTGCATTGAGGAGAGCTTCCGGCGCTTAGACCCCCTGCTGCTCCCGGTGGAAGCGGCCATCTGCGAGAAGAGCTCGGCAGTGGACATTTTGCTCTCTCGGGACAAGTTGCTATCTGAGACCTGCCTCAGTCTCCAGCCAACCAGCTCTTCTCTAGACAGCTACACAGCCGTCAACCAGGCCCAGCTCAACGCAGTGACCTCATTAACGCCCCCATCGTCCCCTGAGCTCAGCCGCCATCTGGTCAAAACCTCACAAACTCTCTCAGCCGTGGATGGCACAGTGACGTTGAAACTGGTGGCCAAGAAGGCTGCGCTCAGCTCAGTAAAGGTGGGAGGGGTGGCGACAGCAGCAGCAGCCGTGGCGGCAGCTGGGACAGTTAAGAGTGGACAGAGCGACAGTGAACCAGGAGGGGTAGGGGCGGAGGCATGCCCTGAAAACAAGAAGAGGGTGCACCGCTGTCAGTTTAACGGGTGCCGGAAAGTTTATACAAAAAGCTCCCACTTAAAGGCCCACCAGAGGACTCACACAGGTAGTGGTACAAGTTGGCCGCACGTGGTTTCTTCTTCTTTTTGCTCCTTTAGCCTCCTGGTGGGAAGGGCTTCTCTTTGTTCTGAGAAATGGCATCCCTGCCAACTAGGAGATGATAGAGAGGCAGGAGGGTCTGGGTGGGGAAGCAAATGACTCACTTGTTACCTTAAGATCTCCAGAGGTCCTGAGCACAGGACACAGTTTGTCCCTCACTCGCTGTGAGGTCCTTTCAGAGGCAGTGCCAACCACATAGGATCAAACAGTTCCGAGGATGCTGAACGGGGCTCTGGTAGTGTGACTCACAGCCCTACGTGATACATGCACTTGTCACTTTCTGACACCTTTCACTGTTTTTCTGAGTGTAGTTTTACAGTTTTGTTCAACACTGGAATCTGAGGAGGTATGTTTGAAAAAATTCACGGTTAAACAAGGTAGCCAGGGTGTCCCCATTCACTCTTTTCCCAGCATCCCTGATTTTTCATCAAAGTCACCAACAGCAGGAGGGTTGCAGAGTTCATTAGATGTGATCATTCTATAATTAATTGGCATCTCCTCTTTTGCATTGTTCTCTGGCGCATGCTTTATGGAGAGATGGCAGAATGGCTTTTTAATGAGCTTGTTACTGAGGAGTTGCTGAAGTGATTACATTGCTATGTGTGTGGTAGGGGCGGGTGGGGACCGATGGGGACTGTATATTTTCCTCAGGACTTCTGTAGTGACTCCCAGGAATCATATTGATCTTTGGAGCAATGAGATAATTTGGAAGAGTGGGATTTACAGAGAAAGGCTGAGATTGGCATTTTTCTTGAAACTGGTCTTTGTTCTTTGCTTTGAGATGGAAGCTTAGGGCTGATGTCTCTTCTTGGTGTTAGCATCCTAGGAACAATTACTGTCATTGGTGGGTTTTAAATGAGTCCCTGACAGTGTACATTGCCTGTATGGCTTTTGCCTACTGCTTGTACAGAACAAGCTGAACATGGAAAACTCCAAAAGTACAAGCAACAGAGTAAGAGTCTAGTTGGAGAGAAGTGGGTGATGAATCTAAGCTAGGAAGTGTCTGGTGAAAGTTCTTTTGGGGCTCACGGCTTGTCTTCCTGGTGCTCTTTGGTGGTTTGTGGAATATGCCACCAAGGAGATGTGCAGGGCAAAGTTCATTGGCCAGAAAAGCAGAAAACCTGGATTCTAGTTTTAACTCTGCCACTAACTAGCTCTGTGACCTTGAGTGTGTCCCTTTACCACATTGGACCTCATTCTCCACATCTGTCATATAATGTAGCTCTTAAAACCCCTTTCAGCTCCACTGTTCTGGGGGCCTGTGAAGTGCCTTTGTTCAGTACGGAAGAACCACATGTGATTTCCAGGATGAGAATTGACATTGCTTCCTCGAAGCACAGGTCTTAGGCATGTACTCCTGTTCTGAACTTCATTCCCTTGTGGCTCTTGCTTAGTTCATGGGAAGGTTTCCTAATGTAACTTTTGAGCCCTGCAGCTCAGGTGCAGAGTCCCACTCATGGTTTCTCATCAGAGTTTGGATCCAGGTTCTCCACTCCACATACACCAAGGCTATTGCTTCCTACTGTCAGCGTTGTTTCTCTCTGATACTGCCCTAAAGGTCATTTCCTTCTCAAGTCAGTAAGTAATGACAAGACATTGCAGTGTTCCAGGCTTCAGCTGTGACTCATCTCCCACTCCCCACAGAAAACCAGAGAAGCAGGATGAGGCGAGAATGTTGAGTTTTGTTATGGGTGTGGAATTCACGATTATGGACACCTTTCTGAATTATTATCACCAAGACAGGCTATGTCCTGCCTAGTATGGTGGCTGGAAAGCTCTGTGGAAACAGGGATTCCTTTTTTGGGCAGATCTCAGAGCATTTTCTTCTTTTTCTTATCTCTTCTTCCCAACAGCTGTGTCAGAAGGATTATTCTTTGGAGTGATTGTTATTTGGTGCTTTGTTTGGGAGGCATTGTGTACTCAATGATTACCTAGGTGGAGCTCAGGATGTTCCCCAGGACCTATAACCACTTTACCTATGGTGGACTGAAGTGTAAGGACTACTCCACATAGGGAGTTCACATAGGTAAGCCACACATCATTGGAAAGGCAGCACTGCAGAATGGTTGAGAGCAGGGCTTTCTTTGTAGGCAAGTAGACTTGGGTTTGAGTTCTGGCTCTACCACTTCCTAGATTTATGACCTGGATAAATTATTTATCTTCACTGAGTCTCATCTCACTCATCTGTAATTGTGTTTATCTCTAGATTGTTTTGAACATTAAATGAGACATGATATGTAAAATACTTGTAAGAGCTTACTAAAAGAGAGCAAAGGGTTAGTGGTCATTATTACTCTTGCTGTTGATATTGATTAGTGATGATTTCATAGGAGAAAAAACTTTTTGTAAACTAGCAATAAGCCACTTAGCCAAAGTTAAATACCAGCAGAAAGCAAGGCACTTTTCTGTTCTCACTCCTGTACTCTCAGTGTGCAGGTGATGATGTTCATGGACACAAGTTGTGTAGGGAGAGACTGGATGTGCAAGCATTGACCATTGAAGTTGACACTAATGTAGACCAGAGCTTTTCTAAGACAACACAGGAAACACTCACCTTGCATCCTCAGCCAAGCATGCAGAGAAAAGTAGGTGCTATAAGAAAGCAAAACAGACAGGAGGGAGGCAGAGGTAGGGATGGGGAATGGGGAAAGGGAATATGAATTAATTTGGATTAAATGGATGAGAATCAGAAGTATTTATTTGGAATTGGTGTGAATGGGGCACATGGGAAACTGAAAGCAAAGGTGATAATTTATGTGGTGTGGATGAACTAAGAATAATGAAAAAAGCATGAGGGATGGAATCAAATGAAGTACCAAACATATCAGAGAAATGGACTAGTAAAAGCTTGAGGGCAAAGGTATATGGTGATAGGAACTCAAGGAGAGTCTGCTGATATAAGTGAGTGGATGGAGAGAGCTACTGACCAAATGTCGAAATAAAGTTTTAGAAAAATGGGTTCTGGTTGGACTCAGCCAAGCTGTTTTAATGCAGGGCTCACTTTAATTTAGTGAAAATATTTCCTTATCTTTCAGTTGGAAAGTGTTTGGGGACAGGAAAAATAAGTGAGAAACTATCCAGGAGAAAAAGGGCAAATATTGGCATTTTGTACTCTAGAGTTATATATACATGTTCTCTCTTCTATATGTTCATATGTTGAAAAGGAGCCAGTTGCAAAAATGAAAGAAAGTAAAATGTGTGGGTCTCTGTCTGCATAAAAAAGAGTACTTTGGCCCTGGCCGGTTTGGCTCAGCGGTTGGAGCGTTGGCCTGCGGTCCTGAGAGACCCGGGTTTGGTTCCCGCTAAGGGCACGTACCTCGGTTGCAATTTGTCCCCGGCCCTGGTTGGGTCGTGTGGGTGGCAACCCCTCGATGTGTCCCTTTCACGTCGATGTTTCTCTCTCTCTCTCCCTCCCACTCTATCTGAACAAAAAATGAAAAAAATGTCCTCGGTGAGGATTAAAAAAAAGAGTACTTTGTTAGTAAGGTGAGATTACTTACGTTGAGGAATTTCTAAAGTGTTATTCATTTAGGTATGCTTCTCCTCATCCCAAACCCTTTGACTGTTTTTTGAGGATGCTGAATCCTTTAAACTTTTTGCCCTGGAGGATGTTAGGCAATGAGGTGATTTTTTTTTTTTCAGGTAGCAGATGTTCAAGTTGGTTGCTAGGGCACAAATACTGGTTACCCAAGGAGGTGAAGTTATGGATGGGGGACTCAGTGGAGCGGGGTGGTAGAAGAAGATGAGGCAGGGACTGGGACAAAGGGAATATTGTGAAGAAGCAGAATCTCGGTGAAAGGAAGCATATAAAATTGGACATATGGTTTATTCATTGGGAAGAGCACTTAGTGCTGGCATGAGTGTAAAAATGTCCTTTAGCAGCCAAGCCATTACAGACCTTTCTCTCCCTCTCTGTTTTCTGGTCTTTGTATAATATATTTTTCTTTTTCAGTAATTCAACCATTATGATTGTAATTTTATTCATCTTGGAATTAGCTAAATAATCCATATATTTTGATGCAGGAGAAACCTTTACTTTCAGTTTTCTAAAAACCACTCAGTTATGCTCATCTGTAGCAAAAATCAATTTGTTAATAGATTCTGTACAAAATGAAAAAATTATTTTTCACATTTCTTCTTGATCACTCTGAGATGAAAAAAAAAATCCTGTGATTGAAATGATGCTTTGTGTTAAATGAGCATACTTTGCTAGTATGGAAATTCATATAAAAGCTTGTTCACATTTATATTAGTAAGAATGAGTCATGGTGGTAAAGTCAGGACAAAGGCTATGAAATCTTTGGTTGTTGGTCACAGAGGAGGGAGAAAAGAGGCCACATTCTCACATGTGCTGTTTGGAAGGTCCTCTCTAGGGACTGGGATTGCTTTAGTCTAATCCATCGGTGGTGGTGAGGATATTTTATATTTTGCAATGAAGGATATAAAGGGATGTTTTCAGGTGGAAAGGTAATACAAGTGTGCAATTAGCATTTTATATCTGCTTTGGGGCAGGTCATAATGAATCAAGATGTGATACTATCTCTAAGTTTAATTAGGATTTAGGGAAATAGTTTATTTTTTAAATGAAAAGGTGTCTAAAAATATTACAAACAAAAAGATGAGTGTTGTGGTTAAGAGGCAAACAAAGTGCTTATTTCATACATGTAATGAAAGTTCTTTAAAGTTGAAATATATTTATTTCACTTATTTAACAAATATAAAGCACTTGCTCTGCATTTTTTGAAGTCTTCTACAAATAGTAATAACCCTTTTATTCTTGTATTAACATAATGACATAGGTACTATTTTTATTTCATAGATGAGGAAAATGAGGTCCAGAGAGGTCTAGTAATTTGTCCAGCCTCACATAGCTCCTTGGTGGCTGGCCCAAGATTCTAACAAAACACTCTTGCTGCAGTCCAAGCTCTTTTATGCTAGTTAATAAGG